CTGGTGGTGGGTTTTTGTTGTTGTTTTTGAGGAATTCCTATACTGTTTTCCATAGTGGCTGTACCATTTTGTATTCCCACCAGCAATGGATAAGCCTTAAATTTCCCCACATCCTTTGTGATTTTCTATTTTGCTTTTTATTTAGCCATTCTAGTGGGAGTGAAAATGGTATCTTATTGTGGTTTTAATTTGCATCTTCTGAGGACTAATGATTCTGAGTTTGGGTGGCCATTTGCTTATCCTCTTTGGTGAAATGTATATTCAAATCCTTGCCCATTTTATGATTGGGCTTTTTTCGTTGTTAAATTATTGAAGTTTTACATATATTTTGGTTATTAGAGTCTAGCTGGACATGGGGTTTCTGCAGGTATTCTCCCAGACAGCTGCATTTTCACTTTAGGGTAGTCTTTTGATGACCAAAATGTAAACATTTTTATGAGGTTCCATTTATTTATTTTATCTTTTGCTGTTGTGCTTTTGTTATTACATTTGATATTCCATTGTGGAAAGTTAGGCCTGACAGTATTGCCTCTGCTTTTGCATCTAAAATTTTATTTTATTTATTTATTTATTTATTTTTAGATTCAAACTTATAATTTCAACACAAAGAAAGCTTTAAAGAATACATCAAAATTACAACCATGTCACTATCAGATTTACAATGTTGGGACCATAATTAAAAAATCGTTACTTGTCAAGAACTTTCCAAAAGTCCTCTCAAGGTCCTTTGCACTTAGAATTACCTCTGGATTTTTACACTTCTATTCAAACTTGTTATCTGTCATTTTTAATGAATTTCGGTGGCTATGGGATTTTTTTTTAAATAAAATTTTATTTTTTTATTGAACATTTAAGTCCTTAATCCATTTGGAATTTGGTTTTGTGCATGATTTGAGGCAAAGATCCTATTGCATTATTCTGCAGATGTAAATCTAATTAAATTGGAGGTTCTTTTAAGAGTTCTAACACCCTGGAGGGCTTGGAATCTTGTAGTTGACCAGTACCCTACCCACCCCCACTTTGACCTGAACCAGCCAGTGGCCCCAGCCTGGTGTGTATGTCAGGGAAAGAAGACACTCGCTGGAAGGACTAAGGTACAATATCAATAATATATAACTTGAGCCCATAGCCAAGGCGAAGAATGTACACTGTAGTGTGTGTGTGTGTGTGTGTGTGTGTGTGT